GAAGCCGCTCTCAGCGAGGGGAGGGGGCGGGGGTGCCAGCCGAGCGCAGCGTCGCCCCTCACGCCTGCTCGATGCCGAAGCCGGTAAGTCCGCCGGCTGTGTTCCGTGGCAGAGGGAAAATGTGCTTTCTGTCACTTCAAGGAAAAGCTTTTCCATTGCTCCCGGCTGTGATGGCTTTCGTCTTTTCTATTCAAATTCTGCGAGATTGGTCCTTCTTTCCTTCCCTGCTGTGTAACCCTGAGCACTCTTCCCGAGCACGCTCACCCAGTACGAAGATGTAGCTTTGGGGGGAGAAGAGTGAATATTCTTTTGAGAATATTCTCAAGAGATTGAGTGTACGTGGTGGGAGCTCAGCTGTCAATCATGGAGGCTTTCGGTGTGGAGGACTCGACTGCAGACAGCCTTGCATGCTGTCGCTTTTCATAAACCTGCAAGCGATCGGCTTCCTTCCCTTAAGGTTAATGCCACTGACGGTGCGGATCTCGGAAGTTGAAGTGTCTATGTCTGATTATGCACCCAGTTAACCAGAAACCGTTGTGTGAATTTCATAAGCGGATACATTTCCATTTTCAGGATACATTCAGAAATGCTTAAATATCTTATGTGGCTCCAGGGGAGATAAACTGACTTAGTCTGGCTGCTAATTGGGACAGTGTGCTGAGTGTTTCGAGCTGGGGAAGCAAGCTGAGTGTATTTCTTATTTCTGCAAAAGGCAAAGTCGTACGTAATCCTGTGCTCAGCGTGGTCTCGAGCAGTCCCCAGAAGGGTTCTGGTTTGCTCTTTGCGAGTTCAGTTTAACTTCTATTATGGGACAGTGCTCCCGTGCCTGCAGGACCGTGCTATGTGGCTTTTGGAAAACATCTGTTACAGCGCATCAGAGTTGGAAGAAATGTTCTTTTGTTTTTGTTTTGTTTTTTTTTTTTTTTTTACTGGGTCCAGTGGAGTATCTTACCTGGTACCGACCTGCACTGACAGGCTTGAGAGTGAGGGGATGCTTTTCGTTTGCTCCAGCACACACATTTTTCTATCTACAGATGCTATTAATTGTGCTCCTTTTTCCTGGTCATCCTTGATGTAGCTGTGTTATGGAAAGTTCTCCATGCTGGCTCCATGTCTTTCCTATTAGAACATTGCAGATGTGTCAAGGACGCACATGTTCCAAAACAAGCTGAGAAAGCAGGAGGCTCCACCCTCCTTCGCCTGCCAAGTGGGCCCCATAGGTTCCTCATTCAGCACCCTGGCAGGCAAATGGTGTACTATCTCTTTAAAGCGGCTCTAGTTTTGTGCCTTGGCTTGGTCAATTTGTTATGGTTTAAAACTGTGGAGCCAGCTGTCTGCAATCTGATGTAATGTTGCCATGGAAACCAGAAATGAAACACTTAAGCATTCACCACAGAATTACTACATATAGCATTAGCCAAAGTAATTAAAAGTTGAGCCATATGGGCTTTCTGGTGGAAAAATCTGCAAGAGAAAGGCTGGAAATCAAATGTTTCTATTTACAGTAACGTAAATCCATTTTTCCACATCCTTTGGTGGAATACATTAATTGGCTTTTTTCGACTAAAGTTTAGAGGTGGGAGTTTTATACAGATGATTTAGTTTTCACCTTCTCATTTAGACGATGATCAAATTAAAGTTTACTTTAGTCCTCTGACCTGGGGCAGGACAGGGAGAGGAGGAGAATACCGTGTCCTGTTACAACGTGCATAAACATACACTGTTATTTATTCACTTCAGTTTGTTTAAAAACTGTTTTCTAGTAGTTCTGTTCAATCTAGGAGTCTGTTTCTTGGAATCAACCATTCATTTTATATGTAATGCAGATTTCCTTCATCTTTTACCAAAGTTCCTCCGGGTGCAAAGATTTCATGCACACTCTTCTTAATTAAATAGTTATTTTTAAATTCTTACACCCTCATCTCTGGGGGTGTAAGTTTCTGAATAAAAAGACACGACAAGGGGCGCCTGGGTGGCTCAGTCAGTTAAGCGTCATGCCTTCGGTTCGGGTCATGGTCCCAGGGTCCTGGGATCGAGCCCCGCATCGGGCTCCCTGCTCGGCGGGGAGTCTGCTTCTCCCCCTCCTTCTCGCTCATGTTCTCTCTCGTTGTCTCTGTCTCTCTTAGATAAATAAATAAAATATTTTTTAAAAAAAGACACGATAAGTTTTTTTTAGTATTTGGGAAGTGGTGTGTGCTAATTTAAAAGGAGAAACATGAAATGAGGAATGTAAGCTTTAGTCCCCATTTTAAAAGAAATGCACGCCTTTTACGGAGTCTTTATGTTAAAACAGCTGGAGAGAATTTTTTAAAGGCAAATATTTCACAACTCCTTATCCTCTGGACTCAGGAGGAAGTGAGAAGTCAACACCTCTCTATCAATAAAAAGCATCCTTGGGATACACTTGGTTAACTCCAGTGACTTCTAGGCTGACTCAAGGGAGGATGTATCTTGATTGATTTGGTTTTATCTTACATTTTTCTTCGTATACATTGTGCTGCATCTACCTTGTTTAGTGTCCAAACCATGATAATGAAAAGTTACTGGTTGCTAGGATTTGTGATTTGTCAGTGGCAAATACCCCTAAAATCTTCATTTTTTTTTTAAGAAAAATAAAAATAACATTAATTCAAAGTTCTAAAGAGCTCCTGTTTCTCAAAAATAGATGGAACATGTGAAAGCAATTAAACAAGTACCTGGAATATGTTATTTTTCACCACAGTGAATCAGGACAGAGGAAAGTAGGACTTGGGGAGGGGATCTTTCCCTTTAATTCTGTTGTCCTGGTTTAACTTATTTCACTTCTCCCTCAGAAGTTCCCTCTGATGGCATGTTTCCTACATGTGATTTGTCTTTGTGGAATGCACAGGCACACAGAGCTCCCCCACCACCACCACGAGCAGCGGTAGCAACCCCCAAACTAGGTACAAAGTACACTCACACACACACACACACGCACACATCACTGATTTTCATTCTCTAACGTAGCTTCCTGTGTCTTGATTATAAACCTGTGCTCATTTCGTTTTTCACTTGACTTCAGAATTTTTCTTTTTCTTTATTTTTGACTTAAGAATTTTTTAATGTGACAGTTACAAACATGTTCTAGGTTTGTCCCCTATGATGTTGGTTCTCAGAATTGCTTAGCTTTTTGAGACACATCAAGAAGGCAGAATACTTTAAATGTTTCTGTGTAATTCCATGCACTTTGGTTTTGCTCAGGTGCTGATTACCCAGAATGAGGGTTTACCCAGTTCGCATTCCTCTGGTTGACCACTCTGACCATTTTCATCACACATCAACAGTTCAGCCAAGTAAAAATGAAATTCAAACCAGACAATACCATTAGGTAGCAGAAGCTATACTTCCTATCTCGTTTTAATTGTTTACATTGTAAGTTTTAGACCAAACGTGTTAAATCTCATTGCCAGCATGCGGTGTAACCTCCTTCCCCCATTACCTGGGGGTTCCATTTCTCTTCTTTATGCTCAGCTAAGCAGTAGTTCACTTTAATTCTGAAATGGAGATGCAACATCTTATCTAGGAATTTTGGAGACATTGAATACAGTTCACAGGGGAGAAGCCTGAGAAGTCCCCCTGTCCTGATGACTTGCCATTTCTGGGTTATCATAATTGTTCTTCAGTGGGTGAATGGTTTGCTTATAATCCTGCAGAGAGAAAGTACAATGGCCTTATACTGGGAGCTCCAGGGTGAGGACAGAGGCCAGGAAATGGGTTGTATTTTTGCCTTTCATAGTGCCACAGTGCTACAGAAATATTTGTGGACTCATAACATGCTGCACCGTTTAATTCATGGAATCTCCACCTTCTTTACCCTTGAACCACTGTTGTCTGCGAATCCTCGAGTACCTATTTGATTGTCGATTTCTCACGGGGGAATGGCTTCATGTTAGGCCAGTTGTTCAGAGCTGTGATTTTTGTTTTGCTTTGTTGTTTATATGAGGCATCTCTGTCCTTACTGTTTCTGTGAACTAGGTTTGAGGAAGTGGGAGAGAAGGTTGTTGCCAGGATGTGCAGGATCAGCTGGGGTTGCTCCCGGGCTGCCTGGGGTGCGTGGAGGCTTGCCCTTCGGCCGGGCTCTGCGCTCCCGGGACCGCCTGAGCACCCGGCCCGTGCAGCACACCCCTGGAGCTGGAGATTGCTTTTGCTTTTTCACATTTTGAACAGATAAAACAGAGGAAGCTGCATATTAAATGTTAGAGCTGACTTGGAACCGAAACCCTCATTTTGTTCACAAGGAAAGGATTGTTTTCACTGGGGTCACTGCTGCAGAGAGATTTTTTTTTTTTCTCCTCTCTGTAATGTTTGATACTTGAGGGAAAACAGCTGGGTTGAGCATACTTGAATCGCTGCAAAATGAAATGGGATGCTGGGGAATATGCACTGTACTGTATGGCTGAAAAGGTCAGCTTTTTCCCTTGTCGCTCGCGGAGGAATGCAGGGTCTGTCCTCATGCTCGCCCTGCGAGCTCTCACAAGGAGCCGGGAGAGGCGGAAGGCATGGCCGAGGTGTGGCAGGCCCACCTAACGAATGGCACAGGAGGCGGCTTTTTGCTTTTCTTCCCTTTTCCTGCCCTGCTGTTTTTGATTTTGGGGGAGGACTGGAACAAGTCAGCAGAATTTTGGTTTGGAGGAGTAGTTGATGACCACGTTGAGCAGTCCTGATGGGCCAGACAGATGAGAGCCGGGCCCAAACCACAGCAGTGGGACTGGAATGACAGGGCCAGCCTGGTGGAGAGAGTCCTGTCGGAGTTCGCCAGAAGGAGGCCCCGCGCCGGTCCAGGGCCCCCGGGGTGTGTCGCGGTGCCTGGGACCTGGGGTGGTGTGTGCGGCTTCGTGAGCCCCAGGGGGCCAGTCGGTGGGGACCCCAGGTGCAGCCACACAGCTCAGACTGGTGGGGAGGTCGGGCTACACCCGGCTGCCAGAGCAGACGGCTCTGGGGCAATGATCTGATTAACTTTTCTTTTGTTTCTTTGCCAGTCAAGAGAACAATCAGATGATGAGACCGAGGAGTCGGTGAAGTTTAAGAGGTTACACAAGCTGGTCAACTCCACTCGCAGAGTGAGGAAGAAACTGATCAGAGTGGAAGAGATGAGAAAGCCCAGCACCGAAGGTAGAAAAAGAAAAAAAAAAACACACTCTACCCTGCTTATTCCAAATTAAATCAGGCGGGGTCAGCTCTTCAGTAGAAAAAGAGTATGATTTCAACTGGAAAATGGATTGCATTCCAGCTGAGGCTGCAGAGAGTGCCTTGGGTCTGCGTGTGAGCAGGGCATTGCTCAGCACGTTAGGGATCCTGACGCCCAGCATCTCGGGAGGCTTAGTACTGTTCTTGTTACAGCGATGGGAAATGGCTGGTGTGTGACAAGGAAGTCTTCTCAAGAGGTGGTACAGCTTTAATGTTGAGCGTACACCACTTTACATCAACTTTATCTTATAACTTCTCAGCAGTAGCCTCTGTGCCCAAAAGATGATGGTTCTTGCCCATTGAATTTATTTATTTTTTAAATTTTATTTTATTATGTTAGTCACCATACAGTACATCATTAGTTTTTGATGTGGTGATCCACGATCCATTGTTTTCGTATAACACCCAGTGCTCCATGCAGTAGGTGCCCTCCTTAATACCTATCACCAGGCTAACCCATCCCCCCAACCCCCTCCCCTCTAAATCCCTCAGTTTGTTTCTCAGAGTCCATAGTCTCTCATAGTCCCCTCCGATTCCCCCCCTTCATTTTTCCCTCCCTTCCCCTAATGTCCTCCATGCTATTCCTTATGTTCCACAAATAAGTGAAACCATATGATAATTGACTTTCTCTGCTTGACTTATTTCACTTAGCATAATCTCTTCCAGTCCCATCCGTGTTGATGTAAAAGTTGGGTATTCATCCTTTCTGATGGCTGAGTAATATTTCCATTGTATATATGGACCACATCTTCTTTATCCATTCATCTGTTGAAGGGCATCTTGGCTCTTTCCACGGTTTTTGCCCATTGAATTTAGTCCAGATTTGATATACATCCATCTCAAACAAACATCCAACAATCGAGGCACTTAATATCCTGTCAGATCTCCAAGGGATGATTTGTTCTTCCTATAAACAGTCTTAGGACTCGGTTCAGGTGGGGCTCTAAGGACCTTCCGTTCTAAGTGGATCTTAAGAGCTATATTGCTGGCTAAGCGGCTTGTCAGATGAAGCAATTATGTCAAAAGGGGCATGAGCTTGGATTTATTGTAGTGAATAGTTAACCTTTCAAGTGTGATTATGACAGCTTAAATCTCACCCATATTCATCACTCCTGTTGTTAGCAGTATGCATTTGCAGCATCTTGTAAGATTCTCCCAAAAGGATAAAAGAGTAAGATTTCCTGTTTGGAAAATGATAAGTGAACTGGAAAAAAGTAGTGGAAAGAATAGGTCTTATTTTTAAAAAGCACATGACTTGTTAAAATGTCATATCTACATTTTGAGGAATCTCAAAAATTTAACGTGTAGATTTGAAAATGATCATTGAGAGGCCTTTTTGTTGTACACAAATAAAATCAAGGCGTGAAGAGAACTGAGATTTCCCCTGACTTACATAGAGGAGGGTTTCCTGTTTTTATTGCTGTTTTTAAATTTCTGTTTGCTGTAATTATTTACCAGCTTAACTCCGCTAGAGAAATATTGGAGGTGAGGGGATTACGAGGGGAGCATGGAGGCAAGAAAGGAAAAGAAGGGGGGAGGGGCAGCGAGAGAGACGTGCTTATGGGCTTCATAGAGTTGTGTTGAATTCCAGGTTTCATGTGGGTGTTTTCTTGCATGGTTATTATGCTTGCCTTTGGGTGCGATGCTGATTTTACATTTGGTTGTTTTAATACCTGCGTGTCAGTCACGGTTTCACAGTACAAGATTATAGCATGATTTCCTCTCACGGGCGGCACTTAACGAAATCATGCACGTAGTGTCCGTTGGAATAGTAAGGAGAGCCATATGGAATTGCCATCATTCAACCTTGGGCACCACACTTTAAAACAAACCTCTCTCACTTGCCAAAATTAAATCTCAAAACACAGCAAATGGATTGATGGGTCTCGTCCATAAACGAGGACACATGAGTGACGTGCGGGGTACTCTGGGCCTACCCCCCAGTTGCCCGTACGTCCAGAGTTGTCGTGGGCATTAGGGCTGCCTTTTGAACTATCTCTCAGAGACGTAGTTGACAAAAGGGAAAAATATACCTAGAGGAGGGGTAGCTTTAGGGTAAGAAGTAGTAATTGTATGGGCTTCTAGCCCTGAACTGTAATTCATCTGGTTATGAATTAGGTGCCACTGATGGAAGATGGATTAAATGAGCCTGAGTCCCCATTAGCCTCTGGTGTCTGATGAGTTGGGGTGCTGGGCTGCCGGTAACTGGACTTGTCGGTTTCGCCAGGAGAGGAGTCAGGTGTGTCTGTGCAGCTCAGGGCATCTGCGTGGGGCTGCCCCCCAGCCAGACTATAGACTAGGACTGTCCTCCAAATCCTGTAGAGTAGCACTCTCTGAGGTTCCTCATTGGCAAAAGAGCTGGTCCTTGACCATTGCTCCTGCAGAGCAGGAAAGACTCACATTCCCAGTAACCCCTCCCTCACTGGCCCGGGACCTTCCAAGAGTTGAGCCTTTCACTTCCTACAGGTCTGTGCCAATACTAAGTCATCTGAAGATTATCCACCTGTACTGAGAGCATCCTGTGTGCCAGCCACTTTCCTACACACTTTAGATTTTATGTTCCTTTTAATACGTCATCCTCAGGATAGCCGCCAGAGGCGGGCATTAATACCATCCTCATTTCACAAATGAGGGGACGGACACACCAAGAGGTTAAATGATTCGCTCAGTGTCACTGAGCTGGCTGGCAGAAGGCCCAGAATTAAGTCCAGGTGACCTGGCCTCCACTCTGCTCCCACCCCTTCCCCACCCCTCAGCTCTGGAGTCCTGGAAGAGCCAGGAGAGTTAGAGTCTCCCACCTAGTCTCACCCTTTCGACTGAGTTTCAAGTCCTTATCCAGGGCACGGATGACGCTAGACGATATTCAGTCATAGGCCAGGTCAGTGCCCTTCGTCTGCCCTTTTTGTGTGTTTTCTCCTAGAGCCGATACCCACCGACCCTCTTCCCTCATTGGCCCAGCTTATCTGTGACCCAGTAATGAATCATTAGCTTTTGTACGGTGCTTTTTAGCTTATAAAGTGCCTTCACATACTTCTTTTCATTTAATTTTATCATCTTCAGTAGTCTTGAAGTAGATATTTCTAGGATAGGCAGAAGTTATTACAGGTGAGGAAACAGACTCCGAGAGATGAAATTATTGCCCAAGGTCATGGAGACGGTGAGTGGCAGAATCAGAGCTGGAATCAGGGCATAAAGCTGGGTTCTTGGCATTAAGTCACCCCCTACCCTAGCCGCGTTTCCTTCTGCAGTCTGATCTCAGTGACGAGGATAGCTAAAGGTCATTGTGTGAAGTAGGTCACATCAATCACGACGGGGCCTTGCATGTTGACTGCCATTCTTCCAAAGGATGGTTGTACTTGGAGGTCCCAGAATGGGAGCAGTGGTGCTCTGAGCCCAAGGAATCAAGTCCAGGCTGGGATTTCAGGCCATGGGGCAGACCCACCACAGAAGAACCTACCCCAGGCAAGGCCTGCCCTCAGCACACGGGCTGATGCAGCCACTGGAGAAGCACTGGCCACTTTTCCCTCCAGTTACCAAATGCAGACTTTTCAGAACAGGACGCAGAGCTGTAGGTCACGGGCAGGTGCCTGCCTACCAACTGGTTCCAGACTCAAATGTGCCATGGAAGTAGGGAAGCTCTGATGACATCTCTAAATACAGAGTCCAGAAAATCTCCAGACCGCTGTTGGGTGACAGGTCGTTAAAGTACCCAGTGACCCACCTGAATTCCCCAAGGCCCCTCAGACTGTAGGTGGATGAGGGCCTTGCCATCTCTGTGGACACCTGGGCTAAATGTAAAGCCGTGGTCTGTGGTCTGGACATGTTTGTAGAGGAGTCCAGGGTGGGCTTCCTCTGCCACCAGGCTGTGCCTCTCATCTGGGCCCCGTCCCTTCTTCCTGAGAGTGGAGGCTGGATTTGATCTAGAGGAGATTGCCATGTTTACTTCTCACAGCAGAAGGACCCGTGGCCTCCATACCTTATTAGTCAGGTGTCCTGAGGAAAGAGTAGGAGACATTCACGATGTTTGCACATTGCCTCTGGTCCGGCGAATATCCCCTCCGAAGCCTAGACTTTGCTTTTACACTCTCGTGAAGGATCCGGGGATAATCCTCCAGGGAATACATTTGTGCTGCAGATGACGGAGAACTCTGGGCTGGACACAGTCTTGAACCTCCCTCCCCACCACCATCTCCGTGACATCAGAATCCATCTGGGGGTTGTATTTCATAACCGCAGTTCTGATTTTCTTTACATTTGTAACAATAACTCCCATCAGTTGGAAAAGTAAGAATAGAATTTGAAAGGACTGCTGCCAGTCCTTTCGTCCTTCCCCTTCTGAAGTGAGCAGCTCGCTCTGACATTTACCCACCCCAGCTGGTGTATTTAGGGCCACCCCTCTGTTCCAAGGAACTTCTAATTTTTTCCTTTTCACAGTTCAGCTGGTGGAAAGCTGCAGGGCTCAAACGTTTCCTTATAATTAAAGGGACACAGCCAGTTAGGATCGCTACACCCACAGTTTGACCTACTTCTTTTTCACATCTGTTCACATAACACACGCAGGAAAGAACTCAGTTTTCCTGCCAGTGAGTCCAAACCTTTCCACTGGGCTCCGGAAGGCTTGGCTCAATACCTTGCTCCGGGGAAGGCTTCGAGAGCTGGAATCCTTGAAACAAAGTGGAAGCTCGATGGGGCTGCCTGCGTGGCCAGGCCCTTAAATGCCCTTGCTGCTTCCTAGCAGGGCCAGTTGATGGCTATGTCTGGCTGGAATCCCCCAGTTCCCTAACTTTTTGTGTCTGGTTTGTCCCCTGGGGACCATTTGTCATTTGCACTTGCACGCTATCACCCTTTATGGAGTCTTCGCACCCAAACTGCCTTGGGGGATTTAATTACTTCAGTGGTGCACGTACCAATAAAAAAAAAAATCACTGTCGGCCACAGGACATTCATCACACTCTGTAGAAAACCAAGCAGACTCAACAGGAGGGCCTTTCAGACGGGGAAAAGATTCTGATTCCTAGCTTCTGAGGACAGCCCTTACCAACTGGGGGAGGGTAGTCCTGTTTGGAGCGGGGAGGAGAAGGGTAATTATCTTTAAATGCTAGGGGCTAAAGAGTATGGTGATAATGACTGGCTTAGGTTTTCCAAATGGCATTTTGAGTAGGTTTCTTAAGGTGTTTGTTCTACAAAGATATTTAAAGAAGAAGAAAGCACACCCAGTACCTTTTAACATTAAGTTTGTGTGAAACCGTACATTTGCACAGTTGGATTATTTTTTACATGCATTTATTTGAGCGGGAGCCGGGTTTATGAAGAGGGTAAGTGATACGGGGGGGAGATCGCTGTGGTGTCTGTGAGGATTAGCGTACTCTTTGTAGGGCAGGGGCTATAACGAAAGAAAGAGCTGGGTGAGAGGACGTAGAAGTGTATGTACAAGAGACCGTGAACCTGTCCGTATTGCTTTCCCTCCAGGCGGGGAGGAGCACCTGTTTGAGAACTCCCCGGGCCTGGATGAAAGGTCCGCCCTTTACTCTGGAGTGCACAAGAAGCCATTTTTCTTTGATGGCTCTCCTGAGAAACCTCCGGAAGATGATTCAGACCCTCTCACCACTTCTCCGTCGTCCAGCAGCCTGGATACCTGGGGAGCCGGCCGGAAGTTGGTCAAAACCTTCAGCAAAGGAGAGAGCCGGGGCCTGATCAAGCCCCCCAAGAAGATGGGGACGTTCTTCTCCTATCCAGAAGAAGAAAAGGCCCAGAAGGTTTCCCGCTCCCTGACGGAGGGCGAGATGAAGAAGGGCCTCGGGTCCCTGAGCCATGGGGTAAGTACGGACGGCGTGTGCGTCTATGACAGCCGCCGGCGCAGGCCCCACCTCCTGGTGTCCCTGGAGGAGGTCCAGAGTGTCCGGAAGCAGATCCGCTTGAAGAAAATGGATACTAACTATTCGTGTTCCAGAGCTTCTCTCTGCCAGCGTCCCTCCAGAAAAGGAGTCCACAGCACCGCCTGCGACCCGCAGCCGCCCCGGCCGAAACCCAAAGGGGGCGGGGGCTGCGGCGCCCCCAGCAGGAGGGTGCGCGGGCGCCCCGCGGTCAGCGAGTTCAATGTCACCTATGTGGTGGAGCGGAGCCTGTACGGGCACCTGAGCCTGACCCAGCTAGTGCGTCCTGCCTCCGACAGGACCCTGAGCAAGGCCGAGAGGCAGGACCTGAGGCGGTGCTTGCTGGAGGAGGAGGAGGAGACCAAGAGGAAGTGGGCCGCCACGGTCGACCGCTGTACTAAAAGGGTTCTCTTGAGAATCCACCAGAAGTCTGTGAGTCACAGAGATGGTCACCAGGACGGCCTTGTCATTTCTGTGAGGTGCAGTCAAGCATCACGGCCTCTCTTCCGTGGCGCCTGGCGCCCTCCCCCTCTCTTCTGCTCCTCACTTCATGACTTCAGGGTCCATTCCGCCATCACCTCAGACTTCTAACCCTGCTCTCCTTTAGCAATAGCTTCCTTTCCATTTGGCCTCTTGCCAGTTGAAGCTGTTTGATTTTTAATTGAAACTAAACACCGATGATGATCCAGGGCAGGGCTTTCAGAGTACAGGGGTGGGGTTTGGCCTCCTTCTAGGAGTGGCCGTCTTGATTCTCAGCCATCCCACCACTTGTCCTCAAAGAAGCTGATTCAGAACAGAAGGACGTTTTGCTCTTAAAAGACATGTTTATTCTTTCAGTTCATTAAAACAATAGAAACTGGCTCACGGAAAGATTGCCATCAACACAATCACAGATTTGGTGATTTTGAAAACATCGTCAAGTACATTTCTTTTATTAGTAGGGCCAAGCAGAAATTTCTTAAATGTAGAGGGGCAAAAAATACTAGAGCTCTTTGGTTTTACTTAAATCTATTTGATAGTCTATCTTTTTTTTTTTAAGATTTTATTTATTTATTTGAGAGAGAGAGAGAATGAGAGAGAGCAAGCACATGAGAGGGGGGAGGGGCAGAGGGAGAAGCAGGCTCCTCACTGAGCAGGGAGCCCGATGCGGGACTCGATCCCGGGACTCCAGGATCATGACCTGAGCCGAAGGCAGTCGCCCAACCAACTGAGCCACCCAGGCACCCAGTAGTCTGTCTATCTTCTTTAAACAGAGGGGTGGACATTTAGAAATGTCTTCCACTGCCCCATAGATTCTTCTGTATGTAGCAGGGAATAAAGTACTTACATTCAAAAATGTTTTTCAGTTTTATTACTGAGTTATTAGAAACCTAGTAAGATTGTTTTTTAGGGTGAGACTTATGTTCAACCTTGAGAATAAAAGCATTTTCCTCCCTGAAATTACCACCCAAATTTTAGCTTGCACAGGAACCCATACAATATGGCACAGAGTGAGGAGTTCTGTGGGCTTCCTGGCCCCCTGTCCCTTGACGCCCTGTTCAGTCCACTGGGACTGCTAGCTGCGTCCCCCTTTAAGGGTCTGAAGGAATAAACTATAGTGCAGCCTCCCACAGGGGATTTTCCTGGGGTTCCTTCACATTCATGCGTCAGATATTCTTCCCCGGACAACTGCTCTAACTTCTATTCATTCAGTCGAGTTCTGCTTCTTTTTTTTTTTTTTTTTTTTTTTTAAGATTTTATTTATTTATCTGAGAGAGAGAATGAGACAGAGAGAGAGCATGAGAGGGGGAGAGTCAGAGGGAGAAGCAGACTCCCCGCTGAGCAGGGAGTCCGATGCGGGACTCGATCCCGGGACTCCAGGATCATGACCTGAGCCGAAGGCAGTCGCTTAACCAACTGAGCCACCCAGGCGCCCCCGAGTTCTGCTTCTTGTGGAAATGGAGACCGATTGGTCCATGCCATCCCTAAAATGACCTTCCCTATTCCAAAAGGGTCAGTAGGTCCATCCTAGCCTTTAGGCTTTCCAGATGTTCCCACGTGTTGACTTTCTTGCTAGAGCTTATTTTTTTTTTTAAGATTTTATTTATTTATTTGAGAGAGAGAATGAGAGAGAGAGAGCATGAGAGGGGGGAGGGTCAGAGGGAGAAGCAGGCTTCCCGCCGAGCAGGGAGCCCGATGTGGGACTCGATCCAGGGACTCCAGGATCATGACCTGAGCTGAAGGCAGTCGCTTAACCAACTGAGCCACCCAGGCGCCCCTAGAGCTTATTTTCTATCTTTTCCCATTTGTACAAATCTTCTAACACTTTAATACTGTGACAACTTCCCTTCTGGTTCTTTCTATACATCATGGTGATAGTTTGTGGTTGGTTCTGTGTTTGTTGTACAATAACAGAATTCTCTTTCTCACTCCTTCAGTTCTGACCCACAGGTCTTCTGTAAAATGCTGTGGCGAACCAATCTTGGTATAATTTATTAACTTGAGAAGGGCTCTGCCCAGTTCATCTGCACATGACCTTGATAGATCAGATCTACCTCTGTTCTGTTAATTGGTTACTCATCCCCATGAACTTAAATCTTGTCATACTGAGAATTTTTCCACCTTGAGTACCTTGAATTCCTCATGCGTCTCCCTCACCTTTATTGCCAGGTTAATAATGTAACCTGTGCAAGACTTTCTAGAAGTTATATTTCCAAGATTTGTGCTAATGAAATTGTGGGCCAGTGATTAATTCTTCACTGACCTTGAGTTATGGACATGGGGCAAGTTTCTTTTCAAGCACCAAGTTTTTTCCTCCCTATAAACATGGTGGTACTGTGTAATCTCTATCCCAGATGTCACCCAAGGCTGGATATTTTTAAGGTACTATGAGCCTGAGGTAGTACTGGACAGTTCTAGTACTTGCTGAAATACGTGTTCAGTACTAAATTAGAAATCTGCACATACCTTTTCCTGTTAAGTGTAACTACACAATCAGGAAGACAAAATTTAATTTTCCAATTATTCAGAGAATGTAAGGGGAAATAAGCATTTGTAACAACAGTTTTTTGGGGTTGTTTGGTTTGGTTTGGTTTTATGGGATTAATTTCCTTGCTTGGTTTACTTTGAACAGCCTTTTCCATCCTTCTCGTCATATCACCTCCACTTTATCTGAAAGTGCACAGTTTCCTTTACTCTTTAAACTTGATCCTTTTGTCTTTCAAAAAATGCCATATTTGCTTGACGAAACCTCAGGGAAATGATAATGCTGTATATTCACTGGAAATGGTCACCTGTCTTGCTTTTTATTTGGTCATTCAGTTTTTGTTTGGGGGAACAGGCATGCATGACATTTTGGAATTTTGTCCATTTTTAAAATTCAACCCCCCACACCCACCCAAAACATGTTTTCAACTGCATGACCATTCCATCGACTGGCTCTCCTCATCCGCAAGCATCTCTCCCAAATGTTCTTACTGTTAGCTGTATAGGAGATACAGGAACTTAAAAAAAAAACACCTCACTTAGGTTTCAATTATGTAGATCACCAGAGGCGAAGATTGGTTTACTTTCTTTTACTACCCTCTCTACAGTCTGTGTTCTCTGTTGAAGGAGTGCTATTTCGGGAACTGCTTGATATTACAGAAAAAGCTGAAGATCCGTTCAAGCGATGTTTACGGTTATATTCTTTGTCTCTCCTCCACTGATAAAGAAGAGTCTGTTCCAGACACCTTAGCATATCACTGGGAGAGGTTACAGTTGGTAGCTAAGAAACCCAGTCAACTCTTCACTCTGAGCTTTTTATTTTAGGAATAAATGCCTACAGCTGGCATATGAAGACATAAATGAGCTTCTAATTTATTGCAGTAAAGTTTCCACATAAATTCTTTCTCAGTTATTTCATATGCATCACAAAGTACGTGCTGGGCTCCAGTGTTGCAGTCGATGCTGGAATTTAAAGCAGGGCAATGCAGAAGCCATAAAATGATGAGGCATCTGGGCGCCATACTGTGTCTGTGAAGCCCTGAGTCACAGGAAAGGAACTAGGATAAAATCACTGCCTTTGCAAAAATGCGAAAATCTATTTGGCATCAGAAGCCGCAAAGGGAAGGTAAACGTTAAAAATTAGCCTTGAGAGGTGGCCAAAACCTTGCTTGCCAGGGTGAGGGATTTGGTGGTTTTGAGTAAAGCGGTCTTTTTTTTTTTTTTTTTTAAAGATTTTTGTTTATTTATTTGACAGAGCGAGAGAGCGAACACAAGCGGGGGGAGTGGGAGTGGGAGAGGGAGAAGCAGGCTTCCCGCCGAGCAGGGAGCCCGACGCGGGGCTCGATCCCAGGACCCCGGGATCATGACCTGAGCCAAAGGCAGGCGCTTAACGACTGAGCCACCCAGGCGCCCTGGTCTTTCTCTTTTTATAGATTAGAATACAGTGAGGTTGACTATAAGGGAGATCAGATTGCCCATCGATACTTAATACAAAATTAGAATTATGTCCATGGTAGATAACTTTCAACAGCAGCGGCAGCTTTGGTGAGGGAGAAAAACCAGTTGTGTGGCCTCCTGAGTTGGGTTATCCCAGAGTGTCCCCTGCAGCACTTCTGTGTTTCCTGGCCCCTCCTGGCCCCTCCACTCTGCCGTGCCGGCCCCTCTCACTTCTGGTCCCTTCCTGGATGGAAGCTCCTAGAATGTAAGGTCCACAGCTGAGCTTCAGCCCTTCATTTGCATCTTTAGAACGGCGACTAAGCCTAAACTTGAGTGTGGTCATTGTCGGGACAAGCTGCTGAATCCTCAGAGCAGCCGTGATGAAGAGTGCATTCACAGCACGTCTGCTCCTCACAGACAAAGTGGAGTTCAGAGTCTAAGTACTTTACCTATCATGCAGCAAGTAAGTGGCAGGACCAGGGCCATCTGTGAGATTCCAGAAACCTTGGCATTTTCCTTCCTGGATGTTTCTGCTTTCTCTATATATCTCAAGTATATTTATTCTAAACAGGCAATGTTTATAGTCTACATTGTGCTTTTCTGGTCATTTCTTCCATCGAACAGCTGTTAACTAGATTTCTTTGAGAAAGAAGTAGTATAAAATATTGGCACCCAAATCTGTTATTCAGCTTTTTATTACCATTTGCTTAAAAAGTAAGTCAGTTGTAACAGAAATTAATGTGCTTTGAGCCTGTCTTAACAGGTTTTTTTGGGTGGCGGAGGGAGTGGCCATCGAGTAGCTTTTGCTGGAAGAACAACAGAATTCGAAGCAGGTTCTGAAATATAAAATTGCTGAAATGTAAGCAATTCCATAAAGATTGAAACCAACTAGAGGACAAGAAGGTTTTCATTCTTTATAACGTCGTGCTTTTCCTATTGGAATTAAAGAGTGTGGTCAGCGACAGTCACTGAATCAACCTTTTCTTTCTGGGCAAATGTGGTGTCTCCATACACTCTGAGTAAAAGGGTCATAATTAGTTAAGTTGGGCAATTAGATGGGAAAGTTAGCAGCATTTTTGGCTAGGTCAAGGAAGCAATGAGTGAGTAATCCTCTTGGCCCGATTGGACTACTCTAAACATAACCTTTTTTCCCCTTCTCAGTGATTGAAAACCAAACAAAACAAGAGTCTGTTAGAGAAGCCTGCTGTCAGTGGTAGAGCTATAGAGGATTTCAGACCTGGGTTTCCAGACCACCCTGAGCACATGGGTCCCCTCGTCATCACTACTGTGTGCAGCTGGTATCGGAGGACTGGAAAGGGATGATCTGTTGCTAAGCGACAGGGAATCTTAGAGCACCTAACACGTGGGTGGTTTTTTGTTTGTGTTTGTGTGTGTTTTAAACCAGTTGGTTTTTGCACATTAAGGGGATTCTAGACCTCTGAGGTAGGCCCAGTTCCAGTGGCCTCTGGAAGGACAACACAAGGGAAATTTCCTTAAAACATGAATCATGTATTTTTTTTTCTCATCATTTCTTGTTTCCTACTTTCATCCCGTAACATATTTGTGATTCAGTGATTGTCCTGCAAATGGAAAATGTGTTGGGTTGGTGCACGGTCGGCTGATGTAAACATAACTGGATTATTCCCACCCTCCCCGCTCCTTTCCACAGAGAACCTGCAGTTTCGGAGGATTTGACTTGACGAACCGCTCTCTACACATTGGCAGCAACAATTCTGATGCAATGGTGAGTATATGTCAGAGGAAAAGCAAAAAAGGTTTGGATTCAAGCAATGTGACTGACAAAGTTGCATGTTTAGTGTCTCTGAGAAACGATAGTGGGTGACATCGGTGATGCTGCATCGTATAGGGAGGAGGCCCTGTTTCACCCGTCTTAGAGATGCTCTGCTGTTGCCCGGGGAATGAACAATGACCACCTCCATCCCCGTAGTGCCTTCGCTTCTGGTTCTCTTCAAGTCGCAGACCCAGTCTGGAGTTTGGCTTCTACGGTCCTCGCCGTTTGAGCACACGTGCCCTTTGTTCACACTCGTTGCAAGTACACGCGACCGGTACACACAGGTGGTGTGCCAGGCTGGAGCCCTTGATGGGGGCGAGAGTCCGTGCCCGCGTTTCTGAGACACCAGTCTGACCACAGGCCAAGTGCATGGCCCTCTAGGAGTCTAGGTCTTTCTGGTCTGGCGTGTCCTGGAATGAACCCCGTCTCCTTGGGCCTGGAGCAAACCAGACTCTTTGGAGCTAAGGTTCTCGTGGCCTCACACCTTCTGGGTCACCGTGGGGACAGGCCACCCCTGTGGCGTCCATACTCTGTTCCTTGAGGTTTTCTTTGCGAGGCTCCAAGCATGTAGGTGAATTTTACCTACTGCTTTGTTTTCCCCTTAGGCATTTTCTCCGAAACGATGAAATTAAAATTCCGTGCTTTATATTTGTGGATATGTCATGTGTCGGCTAAAATACCCATCTGTGATTTTTGAAGTGTTTGAGAATTTCCTGGAAGGATAACAATATTTTATTTGGATATCAAATTTTATAGATTCATAATCTAGTAATTTTATGTAGTCAATCTTTAATAAAAAATGAGAGAAGAAGAATGATTTCTTTTTCCTTTCTCGGGAAAGGTTTTGTTTTTTTTTTTTTTCAATGCAAGATAGAATGAGAGGGGACCACAAGTCTAACTTGTTCAGAGAAGGAAGTGTACATACTCTTAGTACCTGACCACACGGAGCTCTAGAGGGATGTAAGTCGATGGGACGTTGGACTTCTGATGACTGAGATTTGCCATTCTGTTCTTAACCACTTTCCTAGGGTGATTCAGTAGTATCCTCTTCTTCCCCACTGCCAGGATTATGTGAACATAATCACTCTTTATCAATGAAATGCAGTCCCCTTGGGTAGCTAAAATGATGAGGAAAAGTGTAACTGGAGAAGAATATACTAAGGTTAAAAAAAATAATAAGTGACACACATCTCACTTTAAACAAACATGCAAAAGCCCCTTAGTGAGTAGCTTTTAATTTTAAATCGAAAAGACAAATAACATAGCACTAAGTTAACACAGGAAAAAATTTCGAGATCCTGGGGATGCCAATATTTTTCTGAGAGGTAGAACATTAATGGTTTGAATAATAAAACCTGTTTCAGGGCTTCATTTGTCTGTGGTTAAAGGTACTTACAACACTTTTGTTTTGCAGAGTAAAGAAGGAGATTTTGTGTACAAAGAAGTTATCAAGTCACCCACTGCCTCCCGCATCTCTCTTGGGAAAAAGGTGAAATCAGTGAAAGAGACAATGAGGAAGAGGATGTCTAAAAAATATAGCAGCTCTGTCTCTGAGCAGGTATGCAACTCCTGAGCCAAGAGCCGAGCCGAGGATGATCAGTCTGAGATCTGAGATGGTGCTAAATACAAAGCATTGGCATTAACCAGGCTCTAGGACCATGGACACAGAAGTTCGATAGACATTTATTCAGAGTCAGTGAACGTTTACAAAGCACTTAGAATGGTCCATGCACAGTGCTGAGAATCCACGATTTGGGCCCTGTCTTTTACAGACACACGAGAAAAATACAACACGTAAAGAAACGATTGTTCTTAGTGCCATAAGCACTTAACATTTGATACAAAGGAAGGATTTTATTTGCGGAAATAGTCCTCGCTACAAAATGGGTGTTACCAGAATCAAAGCTAAAAAAGCCACTCAAGTTTCCTTAGACAGCAGACTTTTTTAAAAAAGGTGTAGCGGAACTTACTCTAAAAGCTCATAGCAGGTAGACTCGGAAAGTCTGGCTGCAGGGCTGCCCACAGCAGTTGTTTCTGCAGGGGCATTTTCACTAAATGGACCTCTCTCTCTGTGGCCAATAAGATAGCACAGCATAGAGCCCCTCCAGTTGTCTAATTTCATCAGGAGAAACATGACCAGTTCCTGTGCTAACTAGGTGGGTGGAGGGAATAAAGGCATTTGGAGAGCTGAGCCTTGAGGTGATTTTGACCATTTGCACCTTATAGCATTCACTTTTAGTCTGTTGAGGTACCTGTGTATGGGATGTTTGTCTACTTGGAAGTAGGTAGGTGATGCTCTAGCCACCAAATAAAAACAGGGAAAGCGGACATTTTCGCTCAGCTTGCGCCCTCTGGTGGACACAGTAAGCTCCCATCCAAGCATCCCCCTGTTTGACTCACTGACCACCACCAGCTAGCCGGTGGCCTGCACTGGGATGCAAAGCCCGCACAGTGTCTTCAGCATATTACGGTGGTTCTCATGGAGCGGGGAGGAGGGTCCCCCTCCAATCCCAGGGCAGCTGGGGCTCTTTCTGACAGTCACAACCGGGTGGGGCTGGGGCGGCGTGGTCGCTGCTGGCATCTAGCGGAGGGAGGATGGGGATGCGGGTAAACGTTTTACAGCGGCTCCCCCCAGCAGTTCTCCATCCGACATTCTGACCGTGCCCAGGCTGAGAAATCCTGGCTTGTTAGACCTCCAGGGGGAGTCCAGCTGTGTCCTGTATGTCTGCCCCATGATTATTTCCCTTCTTGTCCCTATGGGCTTGGGAGCAATGGCAGTTCCTAGATTTCCGTCCAGCAGTGAGGCTGCATCTCCTGTGAGGCGGCCGCCGCGCTGGCCACTGAAAGCAGCATCATGCAGTTCAAGCACTTGACTCGTAGTTTGCTTTTCCCGTGGATTGAAGTAGCCACTGAAAGCTCTTGGACACGTCCATCCTTTGTGGGTCTCTGCTTGACAGATCAGGAGCGCAGGACTTCAGTGTCCTCTTGAGCTGTGTTCTGTAATTTCACTACTATATAACAGGCTTGTAGGCTTAGTTCTCTTTGTTAAAGCAGTCATTTCACGTGAGTGGGAGGGAAAAGAGTAAATGACCAGTATCATGCCTTTTGGAGAGAGAAGGCTAATGTTGCAAGGTTTTGTTTTGTTTTTGTTTAACATTTTAGTAGATATATCAGCCATTATGGCAAAGATCTTTGCCCTGTTCTTGCTATATGCCCGGCACCTGGAAGAGTACTTGTTCTTGTAGGTCATCAGTAAATACGTGATGAAAGTTAGTAAAAGCATTTGAGGACATACATTATCAGAGTTGTCTATTTCATATTGCTGTTTTTCAAAATTTGTGTGCTGTCTCCAGAAGTGTTAAAAAAAAAAAAAAGATAATTGGACAGATGACTTTTTTGATGATTCAGAAAGAGTAGTGAAAACGTATGCAGGAATTCGTACTCTGCAGCTTCAGTTACTTCTCAGTGATGGCACTTCTGTTTATAGTTGTATTTGAGCTTGTTTGCTCACTTTCCTTAAATATAAAGCATAAACGTGTTCCGGGGGTGCCTGGCTGGGTCAGTCCGTAGAGCATGTGATTCCTGATCTCAGGGTCGTGAATTCAAGCCCCCTGTTGGGCGTGGAGCTTACTTAAAAAAAAAAGAAAAAAAAAGTGTTTTGGATCAGAAGCTGTCATTACTGTTGTCCTTAAATGTTTGCAGGACCCGCAGAATCATGTTAAAGCCCTTCTGATGATTCGGCACTACGTAAATAACAGGTTTCATTTAGATGGTTTTGTGCTCACGTGGCCAAGTAATATGCCAGAAAGTGGTCTGTTTGGGCAAATAAACCATTCTGACTGCAAACGTTTTGAAGCATGATATTGTCTATCCCTATAGCACCATCAGTCACGTGAGCGTGCTGTGCTTGTGTGTGTAAATCAGCAGCTGCCAAGCTAATGCTACCTAGCCACCCCAAAAGTGAAAAGTACTGCTGACTCCTGTCAGCATTCTGACCCGAAAGGGACCTCAAAGCTTTGTACTAACAACACGCAAAAGAAGTAAAAGAAGCAAAAACCAAATGGTGACACAGAGAAATTTTATTGCAGACCAAAAAAAAAAAAAAAAAAGTATTTTGGCTATATATGTGTATTCTAAATTGGTATTTCATTAGCTAATTTCAAGAATTTTTGTAAACAGAAAAAGAATCTGGCCTTTTTTAGGTGTAAATGTTTCTGATAGATTAAATATTTTCTGATAGTACTTCCAGATCTTTACTGGTAAACTGTACTTGATCTGCATTCGAACTCGTTTTATCACTGGCCTAGAGATGATGCTAGAAGTCTCTAAGCCTTTAATGAAATGTTCTCAGAGCTAGATAGATTTTTCTCGAAGATTTCAAGAGTATCTATTTGAGTATGAAAAGTGATTGAGTTATGGGAGCAACAACTCTAAACTGAAGCAAGGGTATAGGTTAAAAAGGAGGAGAATATTGGGTACGGAATCCAATATGGCTATCAAAATGGATGCGACTGATTTAGTGGAGGGCTCAAGTGCCTTAAATTATGAAACAACATCCATCCACTCTGATGCAACTTAATTTTGTTGAAACCCATTCCAGGACTCGGGCCTTGATGGCATGCCTGGCTCCCCTCCATCTTCACAGCCAGATGGCGAACACATGGACAAGCCCAAGCTCAAAGCCGGAGGTTCTGTGGAGAGTCTGCGCAGTTCTCTGAGTGGGCAGAGCTCGATGAGTACGTCTGATTTGTCATTATACGTGCTTGCAGCTGGAGGAGTCAAAATCAGCCTTTTACTGAGTGTCAGAGTCAGGCACTTTAAAGAGGAGTTAGACCAAGTTCTGGCCCTTAGGGTGCTGTTAGAGATATGTGGGCCGAGAGTCATATTTGGTCAGGAGTAGATGTATATAGCAGGGGCACAAAAGAGGGGGTGATGAATTTTAGAGAAAATAGAGAAGGCACCTCAGAGGAAAGATCTGGAGAACGGAGAGGAACAAGTCAAGGGGAAAGGCTCATGAAATGACCAACAAAAGAGGTGGGGGAAGAGAGAATTATAAATGTCACACGTAACAAGTGCTGTTCGACCACTCCAGGACTCACTGGGGTGTCGGCTGAGGGTACTGGGGAGAAGAGGGCAATTTAAAGCACCATTTTCAAAGCAACTGGTCTGGGGCAAGTTGCTTGACTTCTCTGAGTTTCCTCATTGGTAAAATGGGGTAAAAACAGTAAGCTGGAGAGGCTCTGACTGTGGGGGGCTTGTGGCGTCCTGCATTAGGGAGTCTGTGTACCACCTGGATTCCCGGTCTACTTAGATGGTTGCTTAGGGATAACAATCCAAAAACTCCGATCCCCTGGCCTCCTAACCTGGCCCCGCTGTGGTTCTGATGTGAGCTGTGCCTTGTGACCTCCCTGCACTGTCCCTGAGTTTCCTGATCTGTGATGGCTTTCATGCCTTTAAGCTTTGCTGTGCAGGAAGTCTGCATTGACCCTTGTCCTTCCTGTTTTTCCCGTGCAGGTGGTCAGACAGTAAGTACCACTGATTCCTCAACCAGCAACAGGGAGAGTGTCAAGTCGGAAGACGGTGATGATGAGGAGCCCCCCTATCGGGGCCCCTTTTGTGGGCGCGCCAGGGTGCACACCGACTTCACGCCTAGTCCCTACGACACAGACTCGCTCAAGCTCAAGGTGGGTCTCTGCCTGGCCTCAGCCCGGCTCTCCATGCCTTTAAGAGGCGGTCTGTTTGCCTTGCTGTTGAATGCTGGACTCCTGTGGTGCACGCTGGCCAGTATCTCGGCTTCGCTGATAAACCGGTCCCCTCTGTACAGAGACCCTAGCATGTCGGACAGAGGTGGGTCTTGTGTTAATCCTCTGTCATCCCCACGTCATCCCCAGCCCTTCCCTGCGACCGGAGCTTCCTTTTAGAATTCCCGTTGCCCTCCACCCTCCAGTGTCTGTCTTTGTCCAGTTGAAGAAACCTTAACTGTCTTCTCTGTGTGACTGGCGAGTGATGTTTACTGGGACAGATGGAGCTGCTCACAGTTTCTGAAGCGTTTCCAGGCCAGGGACTGTGCTGGCATTTGCTTGGTGGGAAGTGTTTCTCTAGGAAGTAGGAGTTCTGGATGATGGCCAGGTGCCCAGCTAGCCATAAGCACAGGAAAGACTTGGGCCACACTTCATCTCATGGTTCAGGGGGTGGAGGGTAGGAGACCTCGGGACCTCGGGCCTGCGTGGAATCTGGCTCTCTGCCAAGCTCCCAGTTATGTATAGTGATTTCAGTAGCTTCCCGTCTGCGTGATGAACACATCTAAGTGATGCATGGTTCATGCCTAGAGACGGATCTAATGGAAAGATCTTTGTTCCCTGGGCCACAGAAAGGAGACATCATCGATATCATCAGCAAGCCACCCATGGGCACCTGGATGGGTCTGTTGAACAACAAGGTCGGCACATTCAAGTTCATCTATGTAGATGTGCTAAATGAGGAAGAAGAGAAGCCCAAGCGCCCCACCAGAAGGAGGAGAAAAGGAAGACCACCCCAGCCCAAATCTGTGGAAGATCTCCTTGATCGGATCAACCTGAAAGTCAGTTTTGTCCCATTCCAGTCACACGTGGCGCCCTGTTGCCTTCTCCTTTTCCTAAATTAAGCAAGGGCACTTTTAGGGAAGGGGGGGCGATCTGTGTCGTCCAGCAAGGCAGCCCGTTACTAGGATGAGTATCCGTTACTCTTCAGAAATAGGTACCAGTATGCTAATGCTGCTCTTGGCCTCTGCTGAGGTTGACGCACAAGTCCCAGGTCAAAATTTGCTGCTGGCCCCAAGAATAGCTCTCAAAGAGCTGTGAGCACAAAGCTCTGGCGCCCTGCTCACTGGGTTCGCCAGGCTGTGAGGAGTCGCCCACAGGCCCCTGCCCCACAGGTATTCCTAGGATCTAGTACACTGGGGCCACAGAGTAGACTCTGGGTCGTCCTTGCAAATTCTCTGGCTCCTGAGGAAGGCACAGGGCTTTGAGTTGGATTTCAGTAGCTCTGTAAATAAAAGTATCCTCCACGGTGCGCTGTATGGCAAAAGGCCTCAGTCAGGGCAAAGGCACAGTTAAAATGCAAGCCAGCGGGGTCCATCTCAGCCTGCAAGGTCCATCTTTGTGGCCCATGGTTAATGCAATGCCTTGCTCGCCTGCTAAGCTGGGGTGGCTGGGAGGTACAGAACACATTATAAATGAGAGTTACCAACCTTCCACTTAGCACGAAAGTGACCGTGGAAAGGGGTCAGGGGTTTGAGGCCAGGTGTTGGTCAAGCATCACGTAGCAGCGCTTGCTGACTCACCCCTGGCTTCCTTCCCTTCCCTCCCAGGAGCACATGCCCACTTTCCTGTTCAATGGGTACGAAGACCTGGACACCTTTAAGCTCCTGGAGGAGGAAGACTTGGATGAGTTGAATATCAGGGACCCGGAACACAGGGCTGTTCTCCTGACAGCAGTGGAACTGTTACAGGAATATGACAGTAAGTTCTTCCCCGCACCCGAGGGTCCCTCGTTAGCTCAGCCACACACTCGCGTCCCTACAGTCCCTCCTTCGGTCCTATTCCATCCAGAGCCGGGGTCCGTCTTGTATTATGTCAAATGGCACAAAGGCGTGAAATCCCCCACGTAGCCCTTTCGGTTGATGGGAGAGCAAAAGAAAACCTTACTGCTGGCGCCTTTCCTGGCATGTTTCTAGGTAACATTTGAGGAAAATGATGCTCCCAGTGACTGAGAAACAAGTTACGTTTCCTTCACATGGTAGAGGCCCCCTTGGGCACTGTCCTCAGGACGCCTGGGGTCAGAGGAAGCTGACGCACTGGAGCGTCCTGCCCAGCCCAGGGCCAGTCCCTTCTCACAGCACTCCAGAGCGGTTTCCTGATCGACTGGGAGGGTCAATGAAAAAATGACCTTCATCAGCTTCCCCTGAAGCAGGGACTACTGAGGTGACTGTGGAGAGCAGAGACGGCCGGGGCGAGAGCTCACTTTTACAGTCCCTGGGCAGAGTTCAGTAGGCTCCCGGCTTTTATGGAGTCTATTTGAATATACTGTATCCTCTGCTCCATTAACCTAGTCTGATCTTGCTCTTTATTCTTCAGTCTGACATCAAAAATACCCCTGAAATTATTCATCACGAGGGGAGTATCCTTTCTAGTTACCGAATTCAAATGCATTTTCTTTCAAGTGCTCTGCTTCGCCAGCTAATAGCATTTCTATTGCTAAAAGACAAACCAAAACCAGGGTTAATGGTGGGGAAAAAAAAATCCATATTACTGAATGTATCAGGCCCAAGACACATGGAAGCGAGTGAGTCAGTACAGTGAAATTCACTTCTCTTTAATCGGTCCTCCCTCTAAGTTAACTAGTAAACATAGAGGACCACACACCATCCAATAGATGTCTGAACCCTAGATAAACATACTGCCTTCAGGGATAGATTTGAAGAGAATTGTGCTTCATATCGGGTCTCTTTGGTAGGGGAGCTGTCTCTTGGGGAGGGGGCGTGTGGCCAGGTTGTGGACAGAGAGCCTCCTGGCCCAGTGCCGGGTGTGGCCAGCCAGCTCTATTAATATCAATGAACGTTAAATCATCTACTCTCCTGGACCACATCTGCTCTTCCTCAGCCACTGAGAACAGGTGGTTTATAAACCCTGTCCGTTATGTTTCCTGTAGCTTTCAGAGCATAGGAGCGAAGCTACACCCTGAGGATAAGACAGGGTGGATCTGTGCTTAGTCTTTTTCCTGCCACATTGGCTCAGATCCATTGCCCCTCGGGGGAGCAGGTCCTGAGGTCTGCACCAAGGGATATTTTATAGGAGGGAATCTGCCTATCATGATGCATACTCAGAAGTCTAAGGAGGGCTCTTTGCTTCTTTATAAATACCATTTCACATCTGTGCTGTGCCATTGCTCAGACTATCCCTAATGCACAAAGCAGCCCTTCCTTTTTCTGGTTCTCAAAGGCTTCGGGGGCTCCGGGGTGCTGATCAGTGCCAATGGTCTGGGTCCAGACATATCCCAGGATTGTAAGACTTTACATTCAGTGCAGTTAAATTGTATTTAAGTAACTGATAACCTAAAGGAACACCATAGATTTCTGTCAAGCTAAATTTCTATGCACTAGATCGATCCAGAGATCTACTGAGATCTTGTGGATTTTCTCGCTCAGCTACCCACAAGAGCAAGAAGCACATCTCCAGCGTGAGCTGGCAGTCAGACCCACCAGTCTCTCTCATTGCACATCTGTGCAGGGGGAATGCAGGCCTTCGTACAGGGTGCCATTTAATTGTCTGATAGCATTTCCTTGCACTGACACCAAAACCACTGTCTTAGGCCTGCCAAAAAAAAGCTCTTTTTAAAGAATTGTAATAAGAATTTTAATCAGCAACTATTTCTAATATACAGAAAAGTACAGAGAAAGGAACAAATCCACATATCTACTTCTTAAATCTAACTAAAGCTAACATTTTGGCATATTTGCTTCAATTCTGTTTTAAAGAACTACAAAGAACCGTTGGAAGCTCATTGAAAGGCCGGCTATCCAAGAATCCTATTCCCTTTCCTCTTCCTTCCCGAGGTTATTCTTCCTCCCTGTGTGTATGTGCGATGGGGGAGGGCTTCAGGTCCAAGTTCAGGTCATGCCCACACAGGGTTTCAGCCCCCAAACCCAGTCCTCTGAGCTTATTTGACTGTGAGAATTTTCATGGTCCCAGCTCACCTTCTTTCTTCTCCTTTGTACCTTGGCATTCATGCTAGTTAGTGGGGGAGAGGATGTGGCCTTGAATCTGCCATTCCATCTAAGAGCGCTCCCTAATCAAAGAGGGCAAGTTACTTGGTAAATACTGGCTTTTAGTGTGAGGGACTTTTCCTAAACGTGATAGTTGGGGTCCTGCTAAGTAGCTGCTGAGTGGATCTTTCAGGAAGTGACCATAGCCCCTCGGTGTAGGCCTCAGGACCACATCCTCTGAACTGGCTTTCAGGCACCCCGGCCGTGTCGGATGAGGCTGGCAGCCCCAAAGATGCAGACACAGTCTGCATCTTCATACAGTGACGGGACAAGCGTTCTCTTTTATTCCCATCGGTCAGCACTTTGGAGTGTGTTTTGGCTGAGGCGGTACACTGAACTGTCTCGCTAAGGACAAGCTACATTGATTCCTCTTCCTGGGTTGTAACTGATAGCTCAAAGCCCTCATTTTACACGTATCATTTTCCTAAATAACATACTAGACGAGGACAAAGGCCACTTCAAATCCACAGGCTCTTCCACATAATGAGGATAACACTCTAGAATGTTCTACTTTGTGTGTGGGGGTGGGTGAAGGTTTTGCTGTTGTGCTTCCAATTAATTTTTCATTAGTCATTTAAAAAATAGCACTTCTTAATTTGGGATTCTACTATAAGGGCTTCCTCTGCCAGGATTCTTGTGAGAAATGCCAACAGGAAGTGGAGAGTGGGCAGGAGGGACAGTTGGTGCGTGGCGGAATGGCGGTCATCTGCCTTCCTACCGTACATTTTTTAATGACCTGAGAAACGGCATCAGATTTCTGGTTTTTTTTATTTTTCCCTTATGTATGTGATCGGGGGAGGGGCAGTGAAGAGAAAGGAAAATAAATTAAAGCCATTTATGCAGAAACTGTTTTCTTGGTTTCTGTTTTATGTGACCAAGTACTTTCTCTGCATAATACAAAGATGTCCTTCCTAACCTCGCTCCCATGAAGGCCTTATGTGCCCTCTTTATAGAATGTGCAGGTGATGTGACTGAGTGATGAAGGGCGCCACCCCACCCCCCAACCTTATTTCCCAGGGGATTGACTTGAGGCACTTTCCCTGGACAGAAACACCAGGTACTTCTCTCTAAGGGTTCTTTCAGTCACCCAGTCACCCACCTGAAGAGTGTTCATGACTCAGTGTCCAAGTGAGGGGGCTTCCTGAACTTGCCCTGTCTGAACCTTTGTGTACAGGGAATAGAAATGCTGACCCCAAACAAAGGGAGAGGGCAAAAAGGAAAGAAAAGCTCCTAACACACAACAAAAACAAGGATTTAACCTGTGCCCCCCCATTCGCAAGCCTTACTCCTGTTGAGAGACTACAAGAACCAGCGCTTGTCACCAAGACCTAAGAATGCTCCCAGATTGTAATGAAATTCAGTGTTTCATTTACCACTTACTTACACATTGGCTTCCAAATTGGGAAAGCTGGTGACAAATAACTTGGAAGACAAATATTAAGGTAACCTGCCTGTGAAAGGGGCATAGTCACTCCTGCCTTCCAGTCCGTGGTACCACCTCTCAGAAAGCTGCCCTGACTGCTCACACAGTGCTCTGAATTCTCCCACTTCCTGACTGGCCTGAACCCGGAGTCATCCTCTGGGTAACTTAAAAGACACTGACGACCTGCGACTCCATACTCTCCCTCTGAATTTATCATCATGGTATACTTTATAGAAAATATGTTCTGATCTCATCCGTTCATTTTTATTTCATTCACTTTAAAAGAGCTCTCTTCCAGAAGTTCAAGGCTTAAAAATGTGGATAGCAGGATAAAATCAAGATTTGGTTGACTTTGAAACCTCTGCTTTTACTTCCCCTTATGATTCCATGCTGTGTGTTTACCTTCTTTAGGTAACAGCGACCAGTCAGGATCCCAGGAGAAGCTGCTGGTGGACAGCCAGGGCCTGAGTGGATGCTCTCCGCGAGACTCAGGATGCTATGAAAGCAGTGAGAACCTGGAACACGGTAATGTCCACACAGATAATTATGAGTGCGCCTTAATATGCAAGCCACTTGGGTCATTTATGCCTCCTTTTCTTCGTAAGCCTGAGCCATGCTCTTGGGGATACTGGCAATAGGGAGAAGAATTTTTCCAGGATTACTGGTGCTTAATTAAGATTCTTAAAAGGACTGAACAGCTCTCGAGAAACTAGGCAACGGACATTTTTGAGAAACGAGTCTTCCATCCCAGTTTGCACATAAATGAGAGTTTAAGACACTTGTGTGTCAAAGATAGGACCCTCAACTTCCCGTTGCCCTGAAGCTCTCAGCGCCTTAGCCCCAGGGTACATCATGGAAAGGGCCGTGGGGTCTAGAACCAGAAGTCCTGGTCCTGGAGGCTTTGAAACTTGAATAGAGCATTTACAAGCCCAAGACTTTGGTCAAATGACTTCATAGCCTCTGAGCCCCCTCACCACTGAAATAGTAAATGAGTTCCTTTCTTACAGATAGTTCTAAGAGCTAAACAAAGTAATGACATATTAATACCTAGCATTTGTAAAACATGGACTGCAAACTGGGCAGTCAGCCCAAGCGCGGCGGCCCTCGGTGTTGGGACACTGCCCAGGGAAGCAGGCTTATTGGTGTCTTGTGGATCACGGCTGCAGGCGCCCCTTTGGTGTACCCCTGCCAGAATCCAGCTGTTCATCAAAGATGACAGTGCAAAAGCATCTAAATTCATTCCGAAATAAAGTAAAAAGACTGACTTTACCCTAACGGTCTTTGCTTCCTTTCTGTGGAAGCTACATCTCTGAATAAATACAGGCTATATGATTAAATCTTAAAATACTACATTTTTGTTTTTTAAAAAAATCTCAAAACTTCAGGCCAGCTAGACATCACCCAACTACACACATCTAATACGGTACTTCCTTGTCCCTCAGAGAGCATGACTGGGGCTCAGGGACAGTCCCCAGACTTCACATCAGTAGGCCAGGCCCACCCATGGTCTCCTCACTGGAAGGAGAATGCTTTTGCCCGTAGCTGGAGTATGGAGTGCCGGACTCACGGCAGATGACAAACGCAGTCCAATCGGTGGTTCATAATTATCCGCACGTAGCAGATGTTCAGCAGAGAGGTTTCGGCACCACACGATCAGCCATAAATTTCACTTTGAAAAGCGGCACGACAGGATGCGAGCAAGGTACAAAACTGCCGGAAGTCCACAACTCATGCCACAAAGCACTGCAAAAGCAAGGTGTTTTCAAAATAGATGTGACTTTTTTTTTTTTTTTTTCTTTCCCATCTTTTCTGTCTGGTCCACTTGACAGTTACGAACATGGTATCTCCGCGCCCCCCGCCCCCCCGCACCTTGCTTATTCAAATCTTAAACCAAGCTGTTCTGGTTCCCACTAGGGAAGTATTTCCGCTGATTGCAGAGATGAATGTGAGGTGTGTTTAAAGGAGCCCGTGTTTGTCAGGCAGCCTGTAAGCCCTGCTGGTCTGTGGCGTCTTTGCCCTGAGCCACCCCTACATTTCAGCTTTGATCTTTTTATAAATGAGGCGTCATTAAAAAGGATACTCTCGCTTTGAAAATACCTGATTTGAAAGTACGATTTTCTGAAAAAGGAGGATTCTGTTACCATGATGGCCTCGGCAATGATCGCTTCCTGTCTGACTTTCCTACCTCCTAGTCATTAGTTTCTGCTCCTCCCGACTGCTGTGAGGCCAATAAACTGCATCCAAAATACCTGCAGCTGTAAAACCTAAATTGTGTGTCTCCTATGTCCTTGTCTCTTCACAGTAAAAACCAGCATTTGAGTGTTGGGAGCTATTAGGTCCTTAAGGAAAACAGTTTACCAGGTAGGCCATCCATCAGGGTCACAAAAGCAGCAATATTGTAAACGCCCCCGCGGCATGGCCTGAGTGCGGAGCAGTTACTGAGACAGAGGGTGAGCTGAAGGCTACGTGTCTTGTTTCCTCCCTGTCCTAACGGGGAGGCAGTCAGTAGGGAATTTCAGGAAGCGTCCGGGTCTCAGACAGGCGGCTTACGTGGAGTGGGGTCCGGTGCATCCCCTTTTTACCACGGGTGGCTTGGGCTTCCTGTTGTGGCGCCCAGACTCCTCCTATTAAGCAAGATGAGAGACAGCAGTAAAGGGTCCCCCGAAGTTCTGTCGAACACATGAAGACCATCGTGAAAAATGCCCAGGGTTGATAGTTTTTAGCTGTCGTTGGAATCCTATCAAGTAGCCCGTGCGTTAAAATGTTGAGCACCCCCTGAAGCAAGGCTTTTTAAACTGCAGGTTGCAGTTTCATTAGTGGATTGTAAAATCAGTTTAGAGGGCCATGAACAGCAGTTTTGAAAACAGAATAGAAAATACCAGGGTGTGTTCCAAAGGTAAGACTGAAAGTGTTACTTTGTAATCTTTGTTTCGGTGTAAATGTCTCTCTGTGCACGTGTGTGTACTGACCGAATGTAAACTGTGTCTCTTCCTGTAGGTCAGAATTTCAACAAATAGTTTGCGAGCCATTATGGGCTCTCAAACCAGGGCGGGGGGGGGCAGACTTTAAGGAGGTACTCACTCTCAGGTACTCACCTGTACCTGCCTGACCCTGACAGCAGTCACCTCCACCAGTGCCCCTAGGCGCTTTGCTCACCTCACCCTAATCCCAATCTGATGAGCATTTTGGGGACCTCAAAATTTGATCCATGAACTCTGCCGAAGTGTTTTATCAATTTGGGAAGATAGTGGTTCTCCCAAAACCCTAGTGTTACAGCAGCCTCAGTTAAGATGGGACTGAAAACCCACCTAGAGGACTTCTGGGAAGATGGCAGAGTAGGAGGATCCTGAGCTCCCCTTGTCCCATGGACACAACTTAGGTAACAGCCACATCAGTGCATCCAACCCAGAAAATAATCCAAATATGGGCAAAACAGACTTTCCAGTTAACTGTCGAGAGAAGGACATATTAAAAAGGTAGGAGGGGTGGAGACATGGTCAGGAACCAAACTCCTGGTGAGACTAACCACAAACAAGAGGGACACCAAATGTACCAGAGAACAGACCCCACACCAGGCACCCCTAGGCACGGGGGATCAGCAATGAAAGATGGCTTTGAAAACCAGTGGGTCTCGAGTTTGTGGGTTTTTCATAACCAGCTGGGCTTAACTCCAGGTACTTCGAAAATCAGTGGCTCAGCTCCAGGAGGGCCGAGGGGGATAGGAAATAGTCCTCACTCTTTCTTAAAGAGCTAGCATAACAAGCCTGCTGAGATATGGCATAGAAGCAGCAGTCTGAAAAGCACCTGGGGTAATCTCAGAATGGGTGCTGGAGGGACAGGGATCTTTAGGAGACTTCTCTAAGAACAAAGAGCCAGCTGGTGCCATCGCCTCCACCCTCACCTGGACCACCTGCAGGGAACAGGGTGAACACTCTCCACCTACCTTGCTAACACCACGTACCCTGCCCCCGTGTTCTCCTGTGGACTTGCCCCATCCAGACCACCTCAGTTGGCAGGACTCCCTCCAAAGCGGATCTTGCCAGGTCTCATCCTAGAAGCAGCCCTGGCAGGGACTGCTGTCTCTCCCAAGTGACTCCTGCCTCGCAGAGAGAGAAGATAACCACACACCCCAATATACTCAGTCCCAGCAGCCAAACCTTATAACCAGCAGTGCGGGGTGAGCGCCCTGTGGATCAGTGGATCAATGCATCTGCAGTGCTGGCAAGCATCTGGCCTGAATGCCAGCCCTGCCCACCAACAGAAGCTTCTCAGGACAACACAGGGAGAACCCCCCTGCAGCTGAGCATGACAGCAGCCCTTGCAAGTGGGCTGAGGACAGGCATCTGGTCTGACTGCAGACACCACCCAACTGCAAGCCCACGACCACCCCAGACTGACTCTTAGCATAGGGATCAAACCCAGCCCACAACAGCCGACTGGACTGAAGGCAAATGAGGCTCAGCACAACAGTAGGGTAGGGTACATGCAGTCCACACAGAAGACTGTCAAATAAGACACCCCTGAGGCTCCTGGTTGAGGTGAACAGGGGACCACAGGCCTCTTCTTCATAAGGCTACATCAGGAGACATAACTGACTTTCCTAATAAGAAACGAATGCAGAGTTAGACAAAATAAGGAGACAGAAGAATATGTCCCAAATGAAAGAACAGAACAAAACCACAGCCAAAGAGCTAAATGAAACAGATAAGCAATATACCTGATGAAGAATTCAAAATAATGATCATAAAGATACTTACTGGATTTGAGAAGAGTGGAGGATCTCAGACCTTCAACAAAGATAAAAATATGAAAAAGAACCAATCAGGGATGAACTCAGTAACTGAAATTAAAAACACACTAGAAGCAATCAGTAGTAGATTAGAGGAGACAAAGAATGGATCAGCAAGCTGGAAGACAGTACTGGAAAGCAACCAGGCTGAACATCAAAAAGACAAAGGAAAAAGGAGAATAGGTTAATGGAACTCAGGGACATAATCAAGCGTAATAACTTTGCACTAGAGGGATCCCAGAAGGAGAGAGAAGAGGGGGGCAGAAAGTTGATTTTAAGAAATAATAGCTGTGGGGCGCCTGAGTGTCTCAGTCGGTTAAGCATCTGCCTTCGGCTGAGGTCATGCTCTCCAGGTCCTGGGATCGAGCCCCACATTGGGCTCCCTGGAGCTCAATGGTGAGTTTGCTTCTCCCTCTACCTCTGTGATCTCTCTTGCTCTCACTCTCTCTCTAGTAATAAATTAAAAACAAAACAAAAAAAAAAGAAGAAAGAAATAATAGCTGAAAACTTCCCTAAAGTGGGGAAGGAAACAGACATCCAGATCCAGGAGGCAGAGACAGCCCCCAACAAAATCAGTCCAAGGAGGTCCACACCAAGACACATAATAATTGGCAAAAAATTAGTGACAACGAGAATTTTTAAAGCAGCACGAGAGAACAGTTAACATATAAGGAAAACCCCATAAGGCTGTATCAGCTGATTTTTCAGCAGAAACATTGCAGGGGCCAGAAGGGAG